AGGGGTGGTAGTTTACAAAGAAAATTAATATAAATGAAATATCCCCATATTGAAATCAAAAAAAAATTTTGAGCGAACAATTGTTTTCGATAACTTCTTCTTCAGGCTCTACAGTTATAAATCCATGAATAATAGAGTACATGTAGCCAATAAAGGCAAATGAAAATAATATCAGAAACTGTATTGAGGTGCATGTGTAAGTTGAGATGATAGTCCATTGGTTGATATAATCAATCAAATGTGTATAGGGTGTATAGTCAGAAAAATGTGATGAAGTGTGAATGAACAATTGGGTGATATAGTGTTGTTTTATAGTCAACAGAATACAAGTGTCATTGGGGTGAGAGAAATGCGATAACCACAAAATACATACAAACACACATTAACAAAGGGGACACTGAATGTGAGGGCTGACCGATAATGTCTAATGATAAAATGAAGAGGCTAAATTGTAAATTGTTACAGAGTTGGTAGGCTTAGTGTAAAATCACAAAGGTTGACAAAATTGAGGGTAACAATGAGGTGAAATAAACTGGGTGAAGAAATGGATAATAATGACATGATATCACAAAATGATAATAATGGTAATAATAATACGGAAAATTATGATCCTGGTGACCTTATGGTGGGCCAGGGTGGACAGAGAGAGTGAATAAATTTTTTCTGTACACATAAGTCTGGTCTTTCTCTATTTATCTCTAAAGCCTCAGCTATGGCTAGGAGGCGTAATCGTGTACCTTTGGGGAGATGGTTTGGTACTCGATACACAACTGTAAATGACTCATCTACTTTGATGCTGTGTTCGCTATCCACTAGAATTGCACTATTTAATGATTTGGTCGCTCTTTTCCCAAGCCAGACCGGAATATGTTCACGAGTGCGTAAAGATAAATTCCTTTGGGTACGACCTATATAACTAGCTCCACAGGAGCAGTTGAATTTATATACACACATTGATGTCGCCATTTTGGGTAATCTATCTTTAATGCACAGTGTCAGTATACAATTAATAGGTAGAAATTAAATGTCTTATTAACCAAAAAAATATATGGAAACTCTGGATAAGCTGCGAAAAAATGAGAATATAATAATTAATAAACCTGATAAAGGTTACCGGAGTAGTAATTATGAATAAAACAGAATTACTAGAAAAGATGAATGGAAACCTCAGTGACTACCAAAAATTTCGAAAAATTCCGTCTTCCATTGATCCGACTGAAAAAGTTGGGAAACAACTAAATGAGTCACTAAAAAGACTTAAACGACAAGGTAGCATCAGAGGTTTATAAGAATTCCTCAGGCCTACGGGTACGGTCATTCCAAGATTGTATGGGCTACCAAAAGTGCATAAAAATGGGTATATTTCGCGAATTAAAAATAAGCAAGGACCCTCTGACAGTGAAGGAACTGAATGGGTTTCTGCGATATTCTGTCAAGCTTGCTGAAGTTAATGCGAAGATTAGTTTTCTCAGAGACTGTATGAATAATCATGAATATCCTAAGTGGTTTTGGAAAGCTCTACGTCGCAATCACATTTATCCGAACTCTAAATCCCTCAAGCGTCATACTCTGAACCATATCGATTCCATTATATCACGTGTGCCAGAACTCGAGAGGAACATAGCGCAACGATCCTCTGCGTTACACCAATTGTCTTGTGATGAACGACAAGCATTTACCGACTATGTCACTGTGGTTACGGAGAAGCGTACACAATCCATCCATTCTAACTTATTGAAAAGTCTCAAACCTGCAGAAACAAGACGCAAGTTTCCAGAAGATCCTACCAAATTTGTATTCAATTATTCGTCAGTAACGTTATCTCCCATACAATTGGAGGCCTTGTCTCTCGGGCCAAGATTCTGCGACATGAACTCCAACATAAGCAAGCTCAATACTTATGTCGAGTTTGAAAATTTGATCAATCAGACTACTGATCTTGTCCCAGCTTCCGAAGAAGAATTCAAACATTTCAAGTCCACTATTCTAGACTCTTGTCAACAGTATCTGAATACAAAGTCCAAGTTCAACAGCCTTTTGACCAAAGAACATAGAGAACAACTCAACCAACTAAGGCAGAACAAAGAATTGCTTATCACACGTCCTGACAAAGGTACAGGCATAGTCTTAATGGATAGAAAAGATTATATTAACAAAATGATGGCGATTCTCTCAGACAACAATAAGTTCTCAGTATTCGAAAAAGAGAAAGACAAAACCGAAGCGACGGAAAAACAACTAACTGAGATCTTGAGAAAGCTAAAGACTGATCAAGTTATCTCTGAAAATGTCTTCGAGAGCATTCAACCCACAGGTTCAATAATACCCCGACTATACGGATTGCCAAAAACTCATAAACAGGGTCTTCCGCTGCGCCCTATTTTGGACATGTCGGGATCTCCATGTCATCCAATAGCGAAATGGCTAGCAGAACTCCTACAACCTGTCAGAGAACGAATTTCAAAACATTCCCTCCGGGATACCTTCGAATTCATCGATTGCATCAAAGATGTTAAAGTGGGAGACAAACGTATGATTTCACTCGATGTCGAGTCTCTCTTTACAAACGTCCCTATCACTGAGACGATTTGTTTTCTGTGCAAATACTTGGAAGAAAACAACCTGGATATTGGAATACCTACCACCAAGCTAAAAGAACTCCTACTCAGATGTACCCTAAATGTCCAGTTCACATTCAATGGGAACTTCTATCGACAAAAAGATGGCGTGGCGATGGGATCACCTTTGGGTCCGGTGCTGGTTGATATTTTCATGGCAAGTTTGGAAAACGGTCCGCTGAAAGCAACCATCGACAAATTCTTCTTATACAAAAGGTATGTCGATGATACTTTCGTCATCTGCGATCACAATTGTGATCAAAATATTGTTCTTCAAGTTTTCAATAGTTGCCACCCTGCCATCAAATTTACAATCGAAGAAGAAACCAATGAGACAATCTCCTTTCTGGACGTTCGTCTAAGTAAGAAGACCGATGGTACCTTGAACAGATCAGTACACAGAAAACCTACATGGAACGGTCAATTGACAAACTTCTACAGTTGGGCACCAATAAGTCGCAAGCGAAATTTGATAATATCTCTGGCGACTAGAATCCGAAAAATCTGTAGTCCAGCATCAATAGAGGAAGAGATCGCCCTCTTAAGGAAGACACTGCTCGAGAATGGCTACCCACCCCGTTTTATAGACAAGCACATTAAGCCTAAGACGTACAAAGAACAACCCATTACAGTGCAGAAGAAGATGGTCTACATGAATGTACCCTTCAAAGGTGACCTTCTGGCTGACACCTTGAAGAAGAGGATATCTACTGCTCTCAGAAGGACATTCTTCGCTGCCACACTACAACTGACATTTTCCTCCCGGCCATTGTTCTTCAACTACTCTAAAGATAAACTATCGCATTTGACCACTTCCATGTGTATCTACCAATTCACCTGCTCTTGTGGAGCGAGGTATATAGGTCATTCGATGCGTGTTTTATCTAAAAGAGTTCAAGAACACTATCCCGCCTGGCTACGGAAAGGTAACAACGGAACAATAAGGAGCGCCATTATTGAGCATATACTCAACACTGGTCATTCGATTTGCAAGGAGAAGTCGTTCAAAGTCATCTATAAAGTCAAAAGAAGCCTTCCAAAATCGACAAGCTTTCGTATACTTTGTATTGCTGAAGCCTTAGCGATTTGGATGGAAAAGCCTGAGTTATGCACACAGAAGAAACTTCTCCACCCCCTCCTACTACCGTGGGTTTAATTCCAGGTTATTTGTCATCAACATTTTGTTATCAAATTTTTTGCAATTTTCGTATAACAATTTTTAGTAACTAACCCATTCAATCTTTTCACCTATTATCTAGTTTATTTTCATAATTGTCTCCAAACTCCTTCACTAGTATCTAATCTTTCTAAACATGTCCATATTACGTAACCCTACTCACATCTTACCAATCTTTACCCCACTTAGTTACAACTTTGAGTATTAATCACACATTTTAACTTCTTCATTATTTTGATGATGTAACTCTACTCACATCTTACCAATCTTTACCCCACTTAGTTACAACTTTGAGTATTAATCACACATTTTAACTTCTTCATTATTTTGATGATGTAACTCTACTCACATCTTACCAATCTTCGACCCACTTAGTTACAACTCTGAGTATTAATCACACATTTTAACTTCTTCATTATCTTGATGATATAATCAACAACCCACACTAACTGTTATTTTGATTTTGACAAACCTAATGTACACACACACACACAAAATAATTGTATATATATTTGCGACTGTACAGCTAAGTGAATGAATTCGCCGAAAAGAGACTCTTCGCTGAACTAATTTGTTCTTATTTCAATGTCTTAATGGGTATATTTCGCGAATTAAAAATGATTTGCCACTTCATCCAGCGCTGGACATGTGTAACTCCTCATGTCACGCAACAGTAAAATGGTTGGTGAAGCTCTTGAAACCTCTGCATAACAAGTTCGTACAACATAGTTTAAGAGATAGTTCTGAATTTGTCGAAAAAAATAAGAGATCTTAGTAATAATGACAAGTTTATGATATCTCTTGATGTAACCTCTTCGTTCACCAATGTACTGTTGATGGAGACAGTGCACTTTATATGTGATGAGATTACTAAGCGAAACATAGATACTGGTACTTCTGTATCCTCCATAAAGGAACTTATTTTAAGATGCACAATGAATGTTCATTTCTTATTCGATAAGGAATACTGTAGACTGACTGACTGTGTGACTATGGGTTCCTAACCAGGTCCTATTCTAGCTGATTTTTTTTCCTCGCTAAGCTAGAAAATGGACCACTGAAAAGAGTAATTAATGAGTTGGAATTCTACTGTCAATATATGGATGATACATTTCTCGTTACGAAAAACGAGAATGAAGCAATGAACATCCTCGACAAGTTCAACAATGAGCATTCAGCAATAAACTACACCATAGAGAAAGAAAGTAATGACAGTATCTCATTCCTAGGCGTCTTTCTGGCCACGAAAGAAGACGGCACACTAAGGAGACCTACAACAACAGGTCAGTTCACTCATTCTTTGATTTTTGTATCTTTGGAACATAAACGTAACTCGGCAAAGTATCTGTTTCATACAGCTAGGATAAACTGTTCAAAAGACTCCCTGAATGAGGAGCTTGAGATTATTAGAGAATTACTTAATAAAAAGGGTTATCCAGATAAGTTCATTGAGAAAATATGAATTTGGCGCCAAGGAGAGTCAGCGTGGAAACAGCTCCAAAAAAGCCAATGTTCATAAAACTGTAGTTCCTCAGTGAAAACAGCAATGAAATAGTAACACAACGCCTGAAGAATGCAGTTAAAAGAGCTTTCGATGCAGCAGAGGTAAATTGTCTCTTCACTACCATTCCTATTTTACGTTCGAGAAATAAGGACAAACTACCTAATTTTGCCTCCTCTATGTGTATCTACCAGTCTAACTGCCCTTGTGAAGCTGGTTACATTATGCATTTAATTAGGAAGTCTCAGTATCGTAATTTTGAACACCATCCTGCATGGATAAGCAAGGGACAAACAAGATCTATTCGTAGCTCTGTTTTAGCACACCCTGTAGATGATGAGCATAAAGTTGATGTTAATACAGCATTTAAAATTATTTATCGCATTCCTACTAGCCTTAATTTTGCTTTACGAGTTCGTCTTCTACATACAGCTGAAACCAAAGAAATCCATCTGAAGAAGCTGGACTTGTGTATTCAGAAGAAATTTGTACATCCACTTTCCTTACCTTGGCCATCGTTACATAAATGCATAAACCGGTCTACTTCACCCTCCCCCTTAACCTTTTAAAAATTATAATTGTCCAAATTATTTTCCTGACTACTTCATCTTTAATCACGTGTTATCATTTCTAAATCGTTTTTTCTTTAATAATCTGTTACATAATCAACTTGAGCACTCACTTATTACTTAATTACTCTTCATTTTTCCAAAATGAAGCATCGCCACTTTATTGGTAAGTTGTTGTGTATTGTAATATATATATATATCGAAACTTCCAAATGTTGTCTATATAACTCCTCGATTTCTTCTCTTTTGATTCTGTCGGTGGTAATATTTTCCATATCTCTAGCATTAGCTTTGCGTTATCCCTATTGCATTTGTTAGATATGAATTCTATGAACAAAGATTCAGTAATCAACATATCTCTCCACATACCCAAATTACCTTTTCGAACTGTAGCTCTGTCCCACCTTATTGTGTGGTTGTGTGTTAGTACATGCATTGTGACTGCTGAGTTTTTCTCTAAACTTCTCGTCTCCCTGAGGCCAATCACTGAGTCAGTTTGTAGGTGTAAATACCACCCTGACTCCTTTATTAAGAACCATCCTTAGGGTTTCAGATGTCCCTTCCTTATACAGCAAGGCTGTAGATGGCTAGCAGTCTCACCAATATTTTTTCTTTTATTGTAAACTAACCTTATCTTCTTAATGAATTTTATGGGATGTTTATTTAGCATCAGTCCCTCTTCCATTAGTCTCATTTTGGTGAACTACTTACAGTTTTCGTTCGATTTATTAGACACTTAACTAAGCCTTCCTCTACAGACAACGGATGAGTAGTTTGGCTTTATATAAACACTAGTCCACAGTTTACCTTCTCCTGTTCATTTTATTCTAAAATATAACACAACTAATTCTCCTTGTTCATTTTCTAACTGAAACGTAAGCCTAATTCCTCCTACCAGTGAAATTTTATGTATGCTCTGTTTTAAACACAGTGAAAATATCATCCGCACATTTCCACTATAACTTTGGGCTATGATTAATTAAAGCCACATTAAGATATTTGCTACGATTGAGAATATGAGTGATTCCAGTGCATTTTAAACCGAAACCAATTTTAATCATTTGCAGAGATACAAATACACAAACTCATATGACGACCTGGTCCGAAAAATGTTTTCCTTGATTGGCATTTCCTACTACTTTATGAAAGATGGATTTAAAATTAGCATCACTGCATAATATAGTTTGAATAAAACATAGTTGGAATATGATAAGTGGAAAATTACAAAAAATGATATGTATTTTTACACACCTTTAATATATTCTAATGACATTTCAGTTAAAGTTAGTCCTCCTGATAATTATTTACGAAAGAAGTAGGATATTAGAAACGAAGAAAGTCCATATAAAGTGACACAAGTGTATTATTGCTTCTGAGGATGACAACCACTGGCATAAATATACACCGTCTCAGAACCATAACAGAATGACCAACTCATTCGCTTTATCATTACAATGGAACGGCTATCTGGTTTGGTGATTTGCTGTGAAGATGTGTTGAATTATTTGAATGGATCTCGGATGCATTATCAAGTAATCTGACACCTTCCTTGAGCAAATGGTGATCAACAAGAATTGATTTCAAAGGCGTTGTAAGGCAAACTTCATAAGTTTCTTGTGGGTGTGGCAAAGTATTGCGATTTGGAGTAATCACAGGAAGTTCTGAGTGTTGAGCTGGGAGTGGATCTGTGGTGAAATAAGGATGTTTTATTGCCTGAAATACAATGAAACGAAATCATGCGTAGATTGAGTATCATGATCCTAAATGAACATACAATTTAAGAAATTATATCACATAGAGATAATTACAAGTAGTAGTACCTTCTTACATTATAAGAAGAACTATTCAAACAAGATAAGAAAACATAATAGTGCTTATCTATTTAAGACTATGTAGTTTATCACAAATCAGTACACTTTAACAGCACACAAAACAAAACAAATAAAAGCTAGAAAAACAACAATTACGTTATGAGCTGAATAACATCGCTCCATTGCTTCAGCATTATACTGAAGTAAAAATAATAACAACAATTAATAATTGCAATAATAGAATTATTCTAGGCAATAATTTTGATACAGTGTGAAATTATCAGCACGCGGTACAACACTGAATAGTTAGGGGGAAAATAATTAGAGAACTTAATGACATTTACAGTAAAATTAACAACAATAATGTTATTATTATTCACTGGGGTTCAGAGCGGAGAATAGAGCTTCAGAAGCACATCTCGATTTCACTCGGTTTTCTGCAGTCGTTTGTAGCTGTCTCGACGACCGCAGATAAGCTTTCATTTCCTCCTCCTCAATCTCCTCCATGTTACCTTCAGACGCCCAACTCGTCGTTTGTTTCCCGATCGGTTTCCACTCCAGGGCCTAGTGTGTGCTCAATCCATCTGCATCCTCTTCGGCATATTTGTTGAGCAGCAGGTTCTTGGTTGGTTAGTTGCCAGAATTCCTTGTTGCCATAGTCTTGGCGCGACACGAAGGGCACTTCAAACAAACTACAGACCTTCATCAACAGCTGTCTTCGCTCAATACTCAAGATCAGATGGCCAGAAAAGATCAGCAACAGGGAGGAATCTCTGGGAGCGAACTAACCAGGAACCAATTGTGCAACAAATATGCAAGAAGAAATGGAGGTGGATTGGCCATACTCTGAGAAGACCATCAAGTGAAATCACACACCAGATTGTCGAGTGCAAGTTGGTCATCGGTGCGAGGGTGACATGGAGGAGGTCATGCGAAGTGGAGATGAAAGCGTGTGGGCAGACGTGGAGCCAGGTGAAAACGTTGGCGGAGAACCGAACGCAATGTAGACTTGCGGCTGAAGCCCTATGTTCCTCTAGGAACTAAAGGAAACAATAATATCCTTCCAGGCCATCTGATCTTCGGTATGAGGTGAAAGCAGCTGTTGATGAAAGTCTGCAGTCTGCTGGAAATGCAATTCATGATGTGCCAAGTCTATGACCAATATGGAATCAGTTAACAGTTGGCATGGGATTAAGTTTTGGAAAAGTTGCAGGAAGTTAGGCCAAGACCTGGCATCAACCTTTGAAGTCTCTGGCAGTTGGTTTGGGCAGAGTAGGGGGTCACAGGCTATCTGATTTGCTTTTCCTGAATCCAGCTTGTTCAGGGTGGAATTCCGAATCCAGGGCAGATTTTAGTTTCCCCAGCATGGTGCGACTTAATATTCTGCTTAGAGTGGACAGTAGTATGGGTCTGCACCAGTTTCCGCAATTGCTTAAATACCATTTCTTTTGGAGTTTGACAAGGTAGCCCTTCTTCCAATCGGTAGGTATTTTTCTTCCTTCCAGACTTTCTGAAATGGTGTCATAAGAGTATCCGCTGAGGTCTCCGTATCCGTCTTCAGTGCTTCTGGAGGAATTCCGTCTGGCCCTGCTGCCATCCAAGCTGGTTTTCGGCAGCTTCATGGCATTCGAGACTTCTGCTTGTCGCAGGATTAGTGTACACTGACAGTACTGCGACTCTTTGTAATAGTTTTCAGCAAGTTGTACGTGTCCGTTTATTCAGCAGTCCTTTGAAGTGATCAGTTCGTTATTTCTTTTGCCTCTACCCTTTGGTAATCCGGTTCCCTCGACTACCTTTCATTGGTTTCATCTATGTTGGTCTCTTCCCGAATAGCGACTTAGTTATTTGGTATAATGATTTGACATCCCTTGTACCTGCACACGGTTCTGCTTCCTTTTTAAGTGAGTCGTAGAATTACCTTTTGTCTTTCGTAGCACTCTTCATTACTTCTTTAATCAATAAGTTGCACGTTGGACTCAGCTCCTCCTTCCTCTGTTCATCCCTGCACTGGTTTTCCTTCTGCCTCACCATCCCTCTCTTCAATATCATTTTCCACGTATTGGTAGAACCATTGCTTGTCTTGCCTTTTCTTCCTTCCTAAGACGGCTATACTGGTTTCCCCCCACACTACTTTCAGAGAGTTTCAGTGTTCTTCCATGCAGGTTGCCTTGGCAATGCTGCATAATATCATCGAATTTTCACTGATGGCTGCATTGAATGTGTCCTTTGTAGTTTCGTCATTGAGTTGTTGTCTTTCTTCAGCTCCATTTGAACCCTTTCGATTTGACCTCGGAGGTTCATCGCATTAGATAATGATCTGAGCCTACATTTGCTCTTCTCTGTTTTGTATCCAGCATGGTGCGTCTCCACTTTTTGAAGATTATTATGCAGTCTGTCTAATTCCTTGTGTCCATCTGGTGAAATCCGTATCTCTTTGTCTATTTGTTCGTGCTTGTAAACACTGCATCTAATCATCAAATCACTGAAGCCTCAGAAGTCTGTGAGAAGTTCTCCCCTCTCAATCGTTTCGTCGAGAGCCTCTTGACCAATAATGAGTTCTTCTTCTGTGTCGACGGCTCCCAGTTTGGCTTGCATTCATATACACCATTAGGGTTTTGACGTCACTATATGGAGTGTTATCCATTACTGTCTGTAGAATCCCACCTTCTTCTCCAGGTCTGAGTCGTTTGCAGGTGTGTAGAACAGAAAAATTTTAACTTGGATTGCTGACTCTACGGTTAAAAATTTGGAAAATTCACTTCTATTCCATCTGCTCTCACAAATTCACAGAGATTCCAAGACAGGTCTTCACATTTCTTTTGCAACCTGAGCGGTCTTCCTCACTTCGTACATTGTGTAGACATTCCATGTTCTCGTACCTTCTTTTGTTTCATCGGGAGAAAACACAGCAGCTAACTGGTATCCCTAAGGCGTTCACCAACCCACGCCATTTCGTCTCCCCAATTCCAGCGAAAGATAAATTTATTTTATGTCTCTGTGCTTTGAAGTTTCTACACCCATTTGGTTGATTTTCCAGAGTAGAGACGCTAGCCCCATGCCCAACCTTCCCTTTCTTATCCAGTCTTAGGACCAGCTAGTAAACTAGGCGATATTGACGATTATATATTATGAATGTAGAAAAAAATTATAAATTACTAGGAATAGCCATAATAATATATTAGCGATAGGAAAAGTGGAACAGCTGTTTATTTTCTATTTTGCGGTAAGTTAGTAATTTTATGTCCAACGCATTTTTCACCTCATAAGATGCGTCCCATGTAAGATATAGTTCAGTCTTTATATTTAGTTCTGCAAGTATAACTTCTTTTATAACCGCCTCCAGTCCCATCTGATGACATCCAAGAGAAGAGTTTTAAAGTAAAGAGCGTCCTCAGAATCCTACGATAGGATTTTCGCCAATTTCTGGCATGGGTTCAAGTATCTGTTCACAACAATACTAACGAGTTAGCACACCACCTCCATACCAACAGCTTTTGCTGTCCTTCGCAATATTACAAAGTCTTAACTTCCTTATGTAGATGGTTAGACGAAATATTTTTTCCGGAAACAAAAGATGTGGGGCGACCAAGAAATATCAGAGGGAAGACTTGATCCAAAATACCTGACACTTGAGTTCGTTTCTAGTTAAGTCTCCTATATCTTACAAGAACCATGGGAAAGAACGAGTTCACTTAAATTTTGTTTATGTCTCAAATTGAAATTAACAGTTCGCCATTTGGAAGGATTTAACTTAAGACCATTTGAGGAGGACCACTGGCTAATTTTTGGTAAACTTAAAAGTTCGCTTAGAAGTCAGTGTAATATCAACACCCAATGTGTTATCCTGTAACACCAAATATCTCACTAAGGCCTAATAGTGATCAAAGTGAGGTATACAAGTAGAATTTAGTCATTAAAGCAGAATGACCCAGAGTTAACTTATTTGATGTAACACAAAAGGTACCAGCAACTGCATGATGTTACGAACATAATTTCCAACCTTAACTACCTGAATGGAAAATTCGTGATTGTTTTAAGATAGTTCTATTATTTCTCATTTTAAATCTAATCATAGTAAGAACTCCAACAGATTTGCAAGTAGAGATAAATTATTCCTATTTTGTGTTTTGAGGAGTTCGTCTGATGAACGAACATTCATTGATCCCCTTGTTCATCTGCCAAACTATATTAGTCATTAGGAATATTATTCCAACCCACTCTACACATGATTGTATCAGCAGACAAATATAAATGCCTAAGTTCTTCTCTAGATTTCTCACCTTGGTGGGAACTGCCATTCTAGATTCTACTACATTTCTATGCTTACATCGTTTAACGACTTATTAAAATTGCAACAACAAAACCGTTAAAAACCAATTTGTACTGTGAAACAGTAACGCATTCATAAGTATATTATCATGATTTATAGAACGGGAAAACTGTAACTGTACAATACTTACGTCAGATACTGTGATTCTTTGGTGTGGTGGATAAACCAAAAACTTACGAACAAGATCAATCGCTTCAAGTGGTGCATTTGGGAGAACATCTTCAAATGGAATAGTTTCACACACATTGAAACTTATCTTGTTGTAATCAGGTAGTTCTTTTATTTCCTTTCCCAGCAGATTAGCAAACACCAAAAGTAAAATGAAAAGTGAGCTAAAGAATTACACAAAGCTCATGCATTATTAATGAGAAAGTAGCTTAACTTATTACCACAAGTAAATGGAAGTCACTATTGTTAGCGGGGTAGGACGAGAAAACAACTCTTTGGCTGGAAGTGTGAGTTACGGAGGGAGGTGTGGACTATCTGGATAGGGTTCTCAGGATGCTGAGAATCAATGGCTAGAGACTGCTAGTTAAGTGATTCAAAGTCGTTCGCTATAATACAGACGTTTCCATTCCTTGTCGTCATCCTCATTCTGAAAATCCTCATCTAATTGTTTTCACTGCTGAACGTCTGTTTTTATTACAGTTTCATTACATTTCTTTTGTCTACCCTTATGTGCACTTTTACGAAATGTACCGACTTGACCTGATGCAAAGCTTTATGCTGATGAATCACTCAGTACTAATTCAGCGTAATTTTCTCTTGTTTACTTATTTTCTTATATTTAGCCATTTAAGTATTTTGGAAAAAACTTTAGAACATGTAACTTACATTATTCCATCATACAGTAAATTTACTTGGTAAAGTCTCACAGTGTTATGTAGTATTACTTACTTATTACGTTTCAAGCACCATTTACTGCTCATAATTATATCAAGGTGCTCGAAACGTCCTCAGTAAATACTACTGTATAACATTCTGCGTCGGTGGTACAGCGGTTAGGACTCTCGCCGACCATACACATGGTCCGGATTTCGATCACCTACGACGCACATCCGATAGCAATGACCGGCCTGCAAAATTTGGGCTAGAGATATCACATGCTGAAAATTCCATACTTGTACCAAAAGTACTGTAAGGAATCAAGCTATAATCGAAATAAATAAATAAATAAAGTTACTCTGTGATGAAATTGTACTCTTCCACAGTGTCTAAGTTCTATTCGTATAACTCACACTATTTCCACGGAAACTTTTATGGAGTACCGATTGCATCAAAGAACTAATTTCGCCCCAAGTTCAGTGCATAATAAAGTTATTCACCTATATAAACATATTTATTCTCACGTAACATTTCACTTATGGAACTACTTTTCGCGTGATCTAACTTCAATGACAATAATATGTACTACACATCCCAAGGCATAACCAATCTTTGCTATGACGTAGAAATTCTTTATACCTCAGAACCAAACAAAAGTACATCTGTTTACAAACTACAACCAAATACTTGTTCAATACTCTATAGTTTAAAAATAAAATTGAAAATAAGGGGTGTGCTCCAATTATTTTCATTTCCTAGATAACAAAAACATAAAGGAACATTTTATTCTACGAATCTGATATTTATGAACTCAATAACTAAGTAGAACTCACAGGCCATACATCTTCACTTGGAGTACCCAGCACACGGACAACAAACCATAGTTGCTCAATATCATTTTCGCCCTAAACAAAACATTATTACTGTAAAGCTGCAATATACTGGAAACAATGGAGAATTATTAAGTAGTTCACCAAAGATACATCCAATAGCCCTAAAAGATGAATAAGTAATAATTTTCATACCATAAATCAACGCTATTTGTGTATTTCTTGGCTCCATATAAAAGCTCAGGAGCTCGATACCATCTAAAATCAAAAGTAATCTTGGATTTTAACAAAACCTTGTAGCCACTTGATGACTGTACAGACGCTCACTGCTGTTTTCAAAAACTCTTGCAAGACCAAAATCTGCAATTTTTAGGATACCTGTAGAACTAATAAGTAAGTTGGCAGGCTTAAGGTCCTAAAGGAAAGTTCTGTATGAATTATTTGCTTACCCTGTGCATTATACCATTGGCATGCATTACTTCGACTCCCCTCAATATCATTAACATATAACATTTTGCCTGTGCTTCAGTAAGAGGAGGTTGTGAATTCCTTATAACTTCACTAAGATCCGTAACCATGTACTCAAAGACAAGAACAAAACCAGTACCATGAGGAAAGACTTCTCTCAAATGAACAACATAAGGGCTAAATTCAATGAACTGTAAAGCTTTTATCTCTCTGAAACAATAAGTTTCCCAAAATTAGATTACCGTAGAGCTGTGTTTGGAATTCCGTCTGCAAGTTTACGTAAAGGGACCTTTTTTAAGGCAACGAGTTCTCCACTCTGTTTGATATTTTGAGGAAATTACTAAAAAGGTTACCTCTATGTGCTTAGCTTTCAAAACAATCCCATGAGCACCTTCACCGATACGTCCAAGAATAGTATACTGCTCCATACCGCGAAGATATATCAGTACAATCGAAGTTCACAAGAGCACAGTTTGAATTTGCAAGTCATTAGTACACTTGTTTTCAAGGTAGAACTTTGCTGTAATATTTGAGGTCAGTATCAAAATCACAATGAAAACTAAGTTATTAAAATAAATCAATTCAGAATTACACATAAAATAAATAAAACCTCTGTAAATGAGTGTATCACCTACTTTTACCACTTGATCTTAAAAAGCGTACAACTCCTGAAACACTTCATGTTTTAAGCATACCTTTCAATTATGATATCTGTAATAAACAAGGTATAAGGTATAAGCGTGCTTATCTCTACAACACTTTCTCTGAAGTTAACCGGAATGAACATATTTCTCTGTCACATGTGGCTAAGAATACGTACAAAGTTACATCACCACAAACATCTTAATTGAGAGATGAGTACATAAATATCCATTTCATTAAATATCCATAGCATCCAGAAAAATTATATAATGAATATTTGATGCATGAATTTTGTGAAAAACCAAATGTATACGCCTTATCCATCAAATCAGGTAAGACAGAGAATATGCGTTTCCTATTCCAAAGTAATCACCGCTAGCTTGATAAATTTTAAATTGCCTATGAAAAGTTTGCACATTGTGAAATGGACCAGATTATAATTATATTTAAATAGAATAAATTCAAGACAATCCCAACTGTTGGTGATCTCAAGCAGTCGTTCCATTCAAAATATTGCCGAAATAAAAAAACCTATCAGTATGTGCAAAAAACTGCTGGGATATAATCATAATCAACTGATCTACTCCACAATGCACAAATCTATCGGATATTACTTGCGATTATTTCCTTGCAAGTTTCAGGTGAAATTTGTTCAGAAATTCAGAAGGGACTATTTTGTCGACTTCTACGATTTTTCAGATAGCAACTAGTATGGCATCATAAATTATGACAGCTTGAGGGTATCGACAGGTTCTCCACTAAAACTAGCAGTGGCATACCGTCCATCATTAGCAACACTGGAGAGGCAGTCGAGTCAGACGAAACGAAAGCTGAAAAGCTCTCCGAATACTTTTGCGATGTTTTCTCGCCTAATCGTACCACTCAGGGGGTTAGCGAGGTCAATAATGTAGTCACTAAAATGCCCACAGTTGTGGTAGAGGATGCAGTGGTTCTCAAACTACTGTCTAAGTTGAAGCCAGGTAGATCACCTGGACCAGGCGGACTTCATCCTAGATTGCTATAATCTCCCTGGTGGATTGAATATACATTTCACTTACGGAGATTTTTCAGATGTCTCTGACCAGTAGCTACCCAGGGACTGGAAAGATGCTTTTATAAGCCCCATGTTTAAAGATGGGAACAGGCAGTTAGTATCTAGCTACTGGACTGTAAGTCTGACCTGCATTATAGCAAAGGTGTTAGAAAAACTCATAGGGGATCAGCTTTTAGTTCATATGGAAAAACATGGCTTACTGGCAGTGGAACATCACAGATTCCGATCAGGACGATCCTGCTTGACAAACTTACTGTTAGCTAGACAAGATTGGGTCAATGCCAGGGATAAGAACCATCTACTGGAAGTTGCCTTTATCGATCTTAGTAAAGCATTCGATAAGGTATCCCATTCAGGTCTTCTTAGTAAACTTAAACGTTTCGGATTAGACCAACGCTTATGTGAATGGTTTAGCGACTATCTGATGGATAGAAGGCAGAAGGTAAGGGTTAATGGTGTACTGTCAGGGAGGAAAGCAGTACTAAGTGGAGTACCTCAGGGAACGGTACTTGGCCCCCTGCTATTCCTATTATACGTATATGAAGTGCCGAAAATTCTTGCCTCATCTTCCTTACTATTTGCGGACGATATTAAGATATGGAAAACCGTAAATAGTAATGATGATAGGTTGGTACTACAAAACGATCTAAATAAATTAGCCGAATGGGCTAACCTTTGGAGTCTGAAAATTAATTCCAAAAAAAGCGCGGTAATGCACCTAGGTTAGAAGTCTTACACGTCGTACTCCCTGGGGGACACAGAACTGCCAGATGTTAGGGGACAAAAGGACTTTAGAATTATTGTAAGCCATGACTTAAAAACAACGGCAAATTGTAATCGAGCCGCAGCTAAGACTTTTCGAATACTATGGGCACTTCGAAGGGCTTTCAAACGATTAGACGAGGGTATGTTCCAAGTACTCTGTGCAAAATATGTCAGATCTCATCTAGAGTATTGCATACAAGCGGCGAGTCCATGCTTCACAAAGGAGGCACATATCCTAGAAAGAGTACAGAGGGTAGGAACGAAATTAGTTAGTGGTATCTCACACCTTCTTTATGATATGAGGATGGAGCGTTTAAATCTCTTCCCATTATCATACCGAAGGATGAGAGGTGACTTAATTTTGGCTTACCGTATATTCACGGGTGATTTAGGGATTTACCTTTCTCTCCCTCTAGGATACATTTACGAGGTCACCACAAGAAGGGGCTCAAACCGAGGTCGAGAAAAACACGTGTGGAATTTAGATTCTCCCACAGAGTGGTCAACGACTGGAACTCCTTACCTGATACAGTAGTAACAGCTCCATCGGTGAACGCTTTCAAAGAGAAACTGGATCTCTGTAGAGATATTTATCTCGAGGATTAACAGAGGCAACAAGAGCCCTCTATCCTTATAATCTGAATCTAAAAATACATATAGCGAATACCCATTCACCTAAACTTCCTAGCAAACGGAACCAATTGCCGAACCAAGTAATAACGCCTCCCGTTAGTACCCAGCTAGCAGTAACTTTGGGAGCACTACAGAAAGTTTGGGGCAGACTTCGAGCGCTTTGCAGAAACTTTGAGATAGATTGCAGATAACTGTCCCACTTTCTGCAATGCGCCAGAAGATTTTGCCCCGAAATTTCTGCAGTGCGACCGAAGAAAATGACGGCTGGGATGGTTCCAAAGTATTAAAGAGTACTATGTGGCAGATGCCTATATTTATTTCACTTTCACACTTTCCACACCTTAAATGCACGCTTTCTAATATCCTGTTCAGCGACTTTACAGTAGATACATAAGAACAACTCAGCTAGCATCTTCTTTAGGTCTATTGCAGACATTTTGGGGAAACATTGCAGAGCGCATCGCGAAATGTGAAACAGTTGTCTGCGGTCTGACTCAAATGTATCTGCGATGCACCCAAAGTCAGTGTTAGCTGGGCAGCATCCCAAGTGAACATTTGAAGGCAATTTATGAACCTAGAGAGGGAACCCCTATGTAGATCAATGTCAACCTTTTGCAAAGCTTCAAATAAAAGTTGCAATTTTCCCTCAAGCTTCACGAAATATTGTGTGATAGAGACGCTGTAGCTTTCGATTTATTCCACTCATACTCTTACACTGCCATTTTACAAGCTCACGCATTGTTAAGATTTTTCTGCTACTTTAGAAAGCTTGGAAAAAGCACATTTCAAAATGCCATTGACTTTGAATCCCATGGCAACTAGCGCTCAATATCTGCTTTGAGTTGCAGTGTGAACAAACAAATGTGAGACTCATGGGCAAAGTTCAACAATAGTGTCTCAAAAGATGCTAACGTACGAGTGATCCTAAGCCGATCAATAATAAAAATACGACATTTTGCACAAAAAATGACATATATTTTCTAGAAAATAGATGAAAACACTAAAGAGAGTATCTTTCTCCGATGACTTAAAAATACGCCCCAGTTAATTATGAGTAGTGTCGGTTGTTAAGTTAGATTGATTTCCTCGCATTTATTTACCGAGGTGACGGAAGATTATCTGTTTTGTGAATCGTTTATCTATCTTATCCTGTAGTGCAGTCTTCCCCAAAAGCCCTCGTTTTATTTACTAAGGATTTCAGTAGGAGGATCGACAACTAATTACCGGGAAAACGTGGATAATAAAACAAATCAAAAGAAATGAAATCAACTCTAAATCTATTCCTAACCCTAACCTTAATCCTAATTCTAATTACAACCTCTTTCCTAACCGTCAATCTAATCCTAATCTTAACCCTAACCAGCTATTAACACATTGTTCAAACAGTACTTCAAAAAGTGATCTGAGTGAAATTTGCTCCTTAGTTGGTGAATAGCTTTGATATTTGAGTTAAAGTCATTGGAGAGTTCGCATCCCTGCGCCGCTATTGCTGAACTTCACCGAGTTATGAAATTCTCTCACAAGTAAGTGTCTCACAAAAATTGTATCTAAGCTCCAAGATGTGTTGTTAAACTGCATCAGCTGGTCGGTGTGGTGACGTTTAGCGATTAACAAGGGTGAAGTTATGTTACGGTAATATGGGTGTAAGCACACAAAGAAACTGGTTAATATTCTTCGTGGATTACTTCCAGCAGATAGTGAGGACCAGACGACTAAAGTGGAACTACTCTGTGGCAAACTATTTTTATTGAAAACTCGACTTCTGATGAATGTTGAAGAACATTCAAAAGGTTTACAGGAATGGTTAATAACTTCGCCCAATATGCGATGCAGTTTCGGCATTTTCTAATGATATCTAAGACATTGCACTAGGATCTTCAGGTGAACCATGAAAACTGACAATTTCAAGCTCTCTGAAGCATTGACAATTTCGATACAGAATGGGGATATTATGTATAACCCAAATAATATGAAGTATCAGCTGTGTTCAGATATTTTTACCGGTTCAGTTTCACTGAAATAGCGCTTTAGTAGTATATCTTTGTTTGAGAGTCACTAACCCCCCTCCCAACTAATGTATGAATAATATGGTACCTACGCTTGTTCAAAAGCGACGATAGAGGACATAAATAAGAAATCACATCGATCATCCCTCTTATCTGTCATACACCATTTTCTTGAAAAATTTTTATTTTCGGAATCTTTAAAGGGAGCCGCCCATATCTTGGACTTCATGTTTCAAAACATGCTGTCTCCTAGGCACCCTTCAATACCATCAGACGTGAAATACACTCATGAGTTAGTATCGTGGTCGAACTATGTGAGAGGAGTCACTGTCTAGGTTACGACGAAAAATGTCCACAAACCAGTTTTTAGTTTAAATTCATGTTTTTAAAATGTTTGTACGATATGAAGAAATATGGGAATCTGTGAGTGCAAACACTTTATGTGGTCGACAGCAGAATAGTGCCTTAGAGGGAGGTCAGAAAGTACACATCGGCAGCTTGGGTGAGACTCTCTCTCACCGACGATGAAAATCAGTGACTAAAACATCTGTTGGGAAAATTTAGGACTTCATCACTACGGTACTGCTTTTAGTTTTTGTGAACAAGCACATGGAGAAAGTTGTAAATAATGGGAACGTTCAGCATCAGACAGGGTAACGTAAAGGAAGTTCCTGAGTTAATTCAAATGTCTTCCAGCAATAGTGTCACTTAATTAGGCCGAGGGTTTATAACTAAACCTGCCGACTGCCTTCAAAGGCCCACCGAATGGTGGCATAGTCTGTCTTCAAAGGTCCTTTGAAAATTGAGGGGGATGATAAATGCTTATCTGTTAAATGCTAACGAAGAGGGTAAGTTACATCGGGGAATTATGCAGTTGGTTGAACGAAAGGTCCTGGGAACTCAGGAAACGAACCGAAGAAACTATACCATCACGACCCACACAGTTCACTGAAACCTTCTGGATAGTTTTCCAAACTTCAATGAGCCATGAGGAGACATAGGTTACGCCAGCATCAAGAGACACTTCGTAGTTATGAAATGTGTGACGCTATTAAACAACAATGAGAACAATTTCAACAGTGCCGTCAGACAACCGTTCAGTCCAAATGTTTCTCTGGCAAAAATAACCAGCCCAACACAGCTGTGCTATGTTCGGAGACTAACAAGAATATCACCAACAAAAGTGAATCAAAATTTCATCCACAAGAATCAGACAGATTGAGACACGCTTCTAGCAATTAGCCACTTCATATCACAACCCTGAGTTCACTAGAACAAAATGTAGAGGATGCTGAAAGCAAATTATTGCTGTCAAGAGTACAGCGTCACAGCAGTATGGTGGAGCGTCACTAAGGAAAATAAACCAAAGGAAGGAAGAATGATAAGGATCAAAGAGGAAAAGGGAGTCGGCAAGGATAACACACGTGTCAGAGTGTGGTATAGCCCACTGTGGACGTTGGAATCCAATCATGTGTCTGTATATGTATGCTAACCTCTCAAACCCGAAAAAAGTGATGGATCTTGTGATAAAATACTCAGACCTAACATTTTCCAATAATTCAAAAGAGATGGTAACTTACTGTAAACGACTTACTGCTCTTCTTCTACGTAACTTTTACACCCAAGAAGCGAGATTGGCTATAAATGAGAAATGTGTTCGCCCCAAACTTGAATAGCGTGCTCTCTTTTATAGTAACCTGAGGTCAGCAGACCAGAAAATATTGAAATTGTTCAGCACATAATAGGGTTTGATCAACAAATGGAATATGTTGACAGGTGTATACGACTAAAAATTAAAGGCTTACTGTTAATGAGAGGGAAGTGAGACTCATTTTTACTCTTCAAAGCTATTAAAAGACAAAGTTGCAGGAACTCATCCATAACCTGGTCTAATATTGAGTCATTCCGGTTGCGAAGCCAAGACTACCTTCTCAAGGTAGCTACCCACAGAAAAACCATTAGGGCAAACATTTCCACCATAAATATTGCACTCTTTGGAACCAAATACCATCTGAAATCAAGTGTTACAAAACACCAGATGGGTTCAAATGGAGCCTAGAAATACACACTAACATGTCCACCTTAGCTCGTCCTAAAGATCACTAATGTTGGTAGAATGGTAAGCCGCAGACACTCAAGTCTTCAGCTAAATCAGTTACATTTATTTCAATTCTGTTACTTATGCAACGAATGTTCAACCAATTTGTTTAGTTTCCTTTCCTAACAGTTTTCACTAAGCGCAGTTAGTGTAATTATTTCCAAAAAAATCACATTAACAACAATGCCTTTCTGCACCTTTGGAAAAATCGTAGTGACTTTTTAGATCGACCTAATTGAGTAAAAATGCTTTCGCCCCTAACATCTACAAATTCGCTCGACTTCTTGTTAAGATGCGACCCTGTGAGCTTAACACAGATATGCGAGACGTCTTACAGGTAAGCGTGTCCTACACATTCAAACTTTTCAGATCTTTGAAGCCACTCCTGAATAAACTGTAACTTCTTCTTCTCAACGATTCTATCTGAGCACTGGTATACCGTAATACCTTAGGCGTCTAGACCTTTGGTGAAGCTGAGAGTTACTCTTTTCACTAGTATTCTTCACTTTCTTTGAGTCTGGTTGTGCTAAAACAGACAAATTCTTGTGTGAGGAAATGTATTTTCTCACTGAAAACGTCGCAGTTTCCATGGCAAGACTGATATGGTTAGCACTATAAATTGCATATACACACTATCATTCCAAGGGCCGTGTAGTTCCTCCATATATAAATTTCTTATGCGTACTCTTAACGACATATTATACTTTACTGTGTTATATCACACTTTTCAGTTTCTCAGGAATTTCTTCTAATTCTGAAATAGTTTTTAATCACTTGTGTACAAGGCACTTACTTCAACGTAGATTGTTCGTTGTTTGACTAAAATCATCAACAGGAAATAAAACAAAGTTTGGGTTGACGCCCAGCCTTGATAGCGACGTTAGTGAAGGGATTACAATTTAACATTTATTCGGACATGTTCTGAGTGCAGGCATTATAATTCACCTATTTTAACTCTTAAGAAAGTGCTAACCTACCAACTGCCCCGACATTTCCTGTAAACTTAACTATTTATACGCAAAACGAATGAAGGGTAATTATTGCAAAGTTTGTTGAAGTACTCAAGCAGATATCAGTACTGCAAACGGATAGTTCCGAAGTGATTTTCAGATCAGTCATTCAACTACATTGCCTTGAAATACATGGCAGCATTTTTAAAATTCAGTAACCAATGAAACGGGTGATGATAAACGTTATCGTGATATATTATCGCGCACTGTATGGGTTATCGTGTTCACGCCTATAGAGGCGTTATAAGCGTTTACTTTTGTGAAAGTAGAATATATATGACTGGTTTCAGGCTTCCATCGCTGAAAAAGCAACATTTTCCAGTATTGTGTTCTTATTAATGGATAAAACTGTCATGATATCTCAGAGGATGTATTACTTCAAGAACTTATAGTATATAAGAAGTTTAGCAGAGAAAGACTATTATTTGCGTTTTAGAGCCGTAATGGTTTGTTATTTGCTAGTTTTATGAGGATATTAAGGTTGAAAATTAATTATAGGCAATGGTTGTTTTCATAGCAGTTATTCTATGATAACGAGACATTTGAAGGAGAACTAGCCCACATACACAAGTTAAATATACGTTTTGAGGATGCCAAACACTTTTTTATCATCATCCGTAATGATTGAAATATTCCATAACACATCGAAGAGAGCATGCGATGAATGAGACAATCTGCTGAATTTCCTGGTGATCGTATCCATTTCGATGAAGTTTCTAGTTA